TTTCAGGCATATGCAAATATAAAACTGGAAATAGCTAGGAATGATGAAATGTTTTTAAATGTAACCCAACAGTCAGTGGCACTTAATTTGACAGTGCTGAGTCACATAAAATATTCCATATCAGAGATAAAAATCCCAAGAAATACTTATTCCCATTTATACTACAGAGGATATGGAATTTCAAATGCCAAGAGGATAATTCAAATTCCTAAAACTAAGTAAGGAGGTTGGGTGCTTTTGGGAGGACTCTCACTTATCCATATGTAAAGGAATATAAATTTGTATAATTAGTGTTTCTGACAACGAATAATGGAGAACACAGCTTGTCTGTGGCCACAATTGAGACTTTTCTATTGCTGGCATTGAGCCCACCATGCTTTGCATGTGTCATACTCCTTAATATGAAAAATCCAGCAAAAACATCCCTGTGAACTTCTGAGTCATCCTCAGAATGATTTCCTGAGACAGGTAAGGCAGGGCTTATTAAAATTTTTAGAGGAAAGGAACCTGAGACAAATATGGGTTGAGAAATGAATATTAATTTGATATGAGTCACAAAAAATCAATACGGTAAGAACCTGAGTTGTGGGGCTGAAAATCCTTACTTCTCAAAAGTAAGATAAATCAATTCTGCCATGTCTAATGCACATCTCTTAAATTCTTAAATTCTGAAGTAATTTGGACCTCTATATAGCCATATATTTAATGAATATGATCCTGAAAGTCTAAAATGACAAGGTCAAGTTGGTATCTCAATATCACACATATGTATATTTTTTCAAATGTATTGTTTATAGAAGAACTTTAGCTAAATATAAATGTGTTGCAAAAATCAAAAAAAATGTGTGCATGTCTTTTACAAACCTTTACCAATTGCAATTGAGGGAAGAAAATGATTAATAATAACAATCCCAGAGTGTCCAGTTGCTAATAGGAAACTTTGAATGTATACTGAAATACACATACAGCATAAAGTAACAATTATGGGCACAGATATTTCTTCAGCCATCTGCTGTACCGAAGGAAAGGTAGAAAGCCAAACACCAACGATCTCAGCTATTTGCAACCATGCTAGACCTGTTGCATGCCCCCTTCTGGAAAAATTATAGGTCTGGAGAAGAAAGCCCTGGAGCTCATTAGTATCCTAAAGTGACACGCTAAATTCACATTTGTGTTTTTCTTCAAAGTCAGGATTTTAGAAAACAGAAAAACAACTGCTCTTGTAAATTATTAAAGAAAAAGGCCAAATCTTTACTAGTTTTAAAACAATAAAAATAAATAAATTTGGGAGTTAATTCCCATGCTACTGTGTTTTCTTTCAAATTAAATAGGGATTTTCACCTGACAGATTTCCAACATTTCAGAATTACATGAAAACCAGATCACTGCCCTTAAGAAATTTAAACTGTCCTCTGGTAGATTTATTATGATATTTGGCAGAAGCACGAATTTGTATTTGCATTCTGTCAGCTAGGATGAAAGTTTTTTTTTTTTTTTAAGTTTATGAACCAGAACATTCTACACCTAGATATTCAGCTCTTTCATGCTTTCAGTATCTCAAGTCAAAATTGTATAAGTTCAGTTTAGTACAAGTGATGTTTCAGGACCATGGACAGATTTTTTTTCGCTGAAGGGTATATAGTTAAAGGGCTTGTTTACAATAATAAAGGCGGAGAAAGCATGATTATACCCTCTTGGTACTCTAATTAGAAAACAACTATTTCATTAGAAAGGGGGGAATGGAAAGCTGGAGAGGAAATGTTAATATTACAGATTACCTTTTATAATTGCCTGTACGAATTGTCATTTATTTGTTTTTAAGTGTGTACTGAAACCCAATCTCAAGGTAATACAAATTCACATGTTCTATAGACTGAAAGTCATTTTTGCATAAAAGAGCAATAGTTTAAAAAACTAGCATATGCTAATTCAGAAATACATATACAGCACCTGCTCTGCTGTGACCAAACCATCTGCTTAATGTCACAAAATATCTTAGAGCCTCTCGCTGAATATGAAAGGTATATTTATTCTCTGCCTTTCACCTAGGCAGCTCCTGTTCTCTGGGGAAAGGTTGGGAAGGGAGGACCAGTCACCTCCAGGGGGTTAAGGGTATTGTTCCAGGAATATTTACACATCATTCTCAGAGAAAAAAAGACCTCAGAACACTAAGGAGGTTTAAGCGTGCAGGTAAACACGCATCCCAGCTCTTTCCATTTTTCAACACATCTGTGATGTATTAATGGAAGGTTTCCAGATTAGTAAAACACCGTAGGGCGTCTCTCCGCACCACCCTAGAAGGAAAAGGTTGCAAAAGGCCAAAAAAAAAAAAAAAACAAAAAACACAACCTAAAAATCACAATTCCAAGGATGCAATCCACGACCATCCCACCAGAAACTCTACACTGCATCATTTTCATTCCGCCCATCCAAAGCTTATGCTCGCCTTGTCACTAACCCATTAGGGAAAATAAAAATGAAGGGAGACGACATATAT